GCCTGTAAGATCCCACCTCAAACAACACAATACACTAAGCCCCCATTTCTCACCCTCAATCCTTATTACATTCCTGCCCAATGGATGAGCTATAGTAATTAATGGGTCATTACTATCATTTTGAGCACATTTCAGTCCATTAAGAAAGGATTTTTGTTTGTTTGTTTGTTTGTTTTCAAGATAGGGTTTATGTAGCCCTGGCTGTTCTGGAACTTGTTCTATAGACCAGGCAGGCCTTGAAAGCACAGCACAGAGATCCACCTGCCTCTGCCTCCCTAGTGCTGCCAAGGGCCACCAACTGCTGAGCAGGAGTCTTTTTTAAACCTTCATTTAAGGGCTGGTGAGATGGCTCTGCAAACAAGGCACTTTACTATAGTCAACCCTGATGGTCTGAACTTGATCTTTGGAACCCACACAGCAGAAGGGGAGTCATCCTCTGAGCTCATACGTGTACCATGACACATGTGTCCCCACACATAACACAAAACATAAATGTAAAAATTAAAATAAAGCAAAAAAACAAATTAAAATAAAAAATATTAAAATAAAATTAAATAAAAATAAAATTAAATAATAAAAATAATTAAAATGATTTTAAATTATTAAATAAAAATAATTAAATTAAAATTAAAAGAAAATTAAAATAAAATAAAAATTAAAGCAAAAAAATGTTTCCTCATACAATGCTTCCCCTTTGATCTTGTCTCAAATAAATAAACAAACAAGCAAACAGATATCTTTTAACAATAAAATAAATTAAAACAAATTTTTAAAGGGGCCTGAGAGATGGCTCCATGGTTAAGAACACAGATTGCTCTTACAGAAGACTCAGGTTTACTTTCCAATAGCCACCAGTCAGCTCATAATTGTCTCTAACTCAGGTTGCAGGGGATCTGATGCCCTCTTCTGGCCTCGGTAGGAACTGCAGGCACATGCTGCACAGACATAAAAGCAGACAAAACGCCCATGCATGTAAAATGAAAGTAAATGCTAACAATATATTAAAGGAAAAAAATGATTTATCAGAGGCTTAACTTGCATTACCCATTCCTCTTGGTAGACTGTAGGCCAAGGAATGGGTCCATTTCATCCTTTACTGAGCTTGTAAGCAGAGGCGATCATGGTACTTTTGTTATCCTTTGGAGTGCTAATGCTGTCTCCTTTCACATTTCCATCGTCAGTACCATGTATTTTCTCTCCCCCTGCCCCAAGTCAACTTGGTTAAATATTCTTCTCCTCTGTTTTAAAATATCTATTCAAAGAACCAGCTTTTTTGGTCATTTCCTGTACCACCTTTCTATTTCCTATCCCACTGACCTTTAGCTAAGCATTTCCCCTTTACAAATGCTTAACTACACAACATGAAACGCGTTGTTTTTCCACCTTCATATAGCTCAATGCAATCTTACATCTCTGCGGAGTCTTTTGTTCTTGTGCTCTGTAGAAGGGTGCTGTTTAATCTCCAAATATGTACTTTACAGCTTTCTTTCTGTTAATGATTTTTAGTTGAACTCCACTGTGGGCTCCGAGTGCAAGTTAAGGTGTGCCTTGGGAACAGAATAGGGTGTCTTGTGTGTCCGTTCCACATGATCTTCTGAAAAGTTTATTTTCTGTTGTTGAAAGACGTAGTTGCCAAATACCTCAGGTTGACTGGTGGTGCTGGGTCACACTACCCTCACTGATCTTCTGCTCCTTTCCTATGCCCACAAGTGCACAAGCAACATACACACAACCACAAGTGAGTCAAATTCAGAACCCCTGAGCATGCTAGGCAAGTACTCTTCTACCTCGAAGCTTCGTCCCCAAGCTTTCTGAGACAAGGTCCTGATACTGGCCTGAAACTCATTGTGTAGTTCAGAGGCCTAGAACTCACAATCCTCCTGCTTCTGCCTTCTCTGTGCTAGGATTACAGATGTGTTCTATGCCTGGATCTGGTCATTCCCTGCTCAGCAGTACTGAAGTGTCTGTGTGTGGTAGTGGATTCATATATTTTTCCTTGAAAGTTCTAAGCTTTTGCATGTGTTTGGTGTTCTATTGCTAAGTAGATATATGCTATGGATTGTTAAGTCTTCTTGTAGGAAGAAAACACCTTTTGTTTCTGAGAGTTTCTATTTCCTATCCCACTGACCTGTGGCTAAGTTTTTCCTCTTTATGAATACTTTAGCTATATAACATAAGACGTGTTAAGATGCTTTTTCACCTTCATTTAGTTCAATGCAATTTTACATCTCTGTGGAGACTTGTTTTGTTCTTGTGCTCTGTGACATCTTCAGGTTGGTCTTGAGTTTTTTATATAGCCGAGGGTGTTTTTCCAATAGTGAGGGCTCTGCTCCCATCACCAACTTATCTCCCAGATGCCCCTGGCTCCTACTACCAGCACATTAGAAATTAGTTTCAACATAGGAATTTGGAGAAGATAGCATTTGGACTCTGGCATTCCACTGAACTCAAGTTCATGCCTCCATGTCAGAAACCTCCAATCTGTTAAGACGATCCCTGATTCATCCATTCAGCAAAACTGCTGTGCTTGTGATTCAAAGAGGTTCTTGTCTCCACACGTTATGACTGTGATGTGATCACAAGACAAGATTCCCTCACGATTCCAATGGGAAGGAATGGGGGTGGCAAACAGGAGTGGTAGGTCCCAGGAAAGTCTAAAACCCAATGGGACAAGCAGTAACAGATCCTAAGGGTGCAGATCACTGTTGTGGGATGAATCTGCCCTGCAGAGGTGACAGTACCATCTTCAGGAATCACTGGGAGTTGGCACACCCCCGCAGTGGTTCTCAGCAGTGGCCTCACCTTCACAGGAGCGTGCCTGAGTCTGCACTGTAGGCTTTTACTTGAATCAGTCAACAGCACCTGTTAGGCTTAAAGTCTTGGGGGCAGCTCTCTCCTACAGATCTGTGGTGGGCCTGCCCTTGTGCTAGCCTCTTCCTGGGCCTCACGGCTCCTAACACATCCTTTAATTTCTAGGTAAAAGTAGCTGCATCCCCACAGCTTCAGACTCTGAGCCTGTGATCACCACAGATCCATTCCTCCACTGCCTTCTGCTTATAGATAACTGGCTGGTTGCCTTCTCTTGAATGGCACCAGCTTCCACAGAGTTTGCTGATTTGTACTGGTCAACTTCATCAAAGAGCTATGGCTACACATTTGCCCTTTCCTCAGCAGGCTTTCTCATTTGTTCCAATGAGAGTGGGCTGGGTTTCCCCAGATTTTAAAATTCTACTTCCCTTCTGACCTGTTCTTTCTTAATCTCTCTTCTGTAGTACTGAATTTTTATAAGCAGTTCCAAGGAACCTGCCCCATTAACACTTTGCTTAAAATATGGGTCTTTTTAAAAAAAAAAATTTTTTTTTTATTTTACGTACACTGGTGTCAGGGTGTCAGAACTTCTGGAACTAGAAGTTACAATAATTGTGAGCCACCATTTGGTTGCTGAGACTTAAACCTGGGCCCACTAGCATTGCAGCCAGTGCTCTTAACCACTGAGCCATCTCTCCAGCCTTAAAATATGGGTCTTGGAGCTGCTTTTTGTCCAGTGTTTCATCATTCACCTTGCTAGAATGCAATGATGTCCTCTAAGCTGCTTCTGTATCAGACTACTGCTGGGATATTTCTATTACCAATTTAATTTCTTCTCAAATGTCTACTGCTCATTTCTTAAACAGGCTAAAGTGTGTCATCAATTCATCCTTTTTTAATCCCCCCGCCTTTAAAGGAATTTTTGGGTCTGTTGATTTCTCCCTTTTTAAATTATATTTATGTGTTTGTGTACAAGTGCACGCACACACATCTAGAGGCCAGACGATAAGCTAAAAGAAGGGTTCTCTCCTTCCACCACGTGAGTTCTGACTCAGGTCTTCTGGTCTATCAGCCAGCACCTTTACCCACAAAGCCATCTTGCTGGCCTCATTTTTCACTTTTGTTTTACTTATACAGTTCTAATCTTTTTAAAAATTGTGCGTGTGTGTGTATGTGTGTGTGCGCGCGCACGCCTATGAATATGAATGCAAGTGTTCATAGAGACCAGAAGAGGATGTCAGATCTCTGGAGCTGGAGTTACAAAAGACTGTAAGTAAGCTTCTTGATGTGGGTGCTGGGAACTGAACTAGGGCCCTTTGTAAGCACAGTCTGCACTCAAGTTCTCAGTCATATCTCCAGTCCTGTCTCACTCTAACTTTTAAACAGTTCTTTTTTTATTTTGGGCTTAAGAGAGTCAATATTTTTTGTGTATAATGGTCCACTATACATATATATATATTTTTTCTTACATATATATATATCATATATATCAGTTCCATATATATATCATACACACACAAATATATAATATATATCCTTAATATTTCTGTAAAACCAGTAGTATATCTGTTTTTATTTCTTATTTTAGTAATTTGAGTTCTACCTCTCTGTCTTGGTTTCCTAAACTACTGTCAGAGAAAGGAGACTGCAGAGGTCCAGGGAAGGCTTCTAGAGGGAGACCCTGGGTAGGCGAGGCTGCCAGAAGAGATGACCAGAGAATACTCTGACAGCTACTGTCTATGGAGTTAAGACACCGCCCCAAGTTCTCACACCTACAAGCAGTTATCCCAAAGCACTGTGTATCTCTGTACATATTCCTTCAGTTAAATACAGCTTTATATTGACAAGTGAATATATAATAAACCTTGTCTCCAAGATTTATTCATTTCCAGGTCTGAAGCAAGACTTTGGCCAGCACAGGTTTCTATCCCTGTGAACTGCTACTTCCTAGACAGCTTTGTGCCATGAATCCTACAAACTGCAATGAGTTCTGACCACCCTGCTGCCAGTCTTCATATTGAACAATGTGGGTAACCCCGGAGGCACATCTTGCCTCCCAAGGATAAATCCCAAGTTGTTTCAGGCCCCCACCTTCAGTGTCCAATAGGATTGGCTGTTTGGGGCCCAGACTTACCATACCTGCTGGAAGTGGTCATCTGGTGCAGGAGTGAAGCAATCACAGAGGGTACGCATGTGCTTCAATTGTTTTATTACTCTTTATTGGTCCTACCAATGCGACTCTTTACCCAGGCCCGCTTTTCCTATGTGTGCTGGCTGTGGAGACGGTCCGACCTCAACCGCGACCAAAGTCTCGGCTAGTCTCACCTTCCTATGCCTTCTCCCCACTTGGCCTCATTTGCTCAAAAACAGAAGGCATCCACTCATCATTGTTTTGGGTCTGTGTAAAGGTGCCTTGGCAGGAGAACATGCATATGACTTTTAAAATAAAGACCAACATTCTGACACTAAGGTAACACACAGAAAAAAATACAGTACTTAGACATCATTGCAAATAAATACCCCATACAGATGATGTTATCTTAAATGTAACAATATTTTGTATGAATCAACACTGTAACAGAAGGCAAAGAGTCCCAACAACTAGGAATAAGAAATGCTCATTCCAGGAAACAGAATTCTTCAATTCCTAACAATTTATATTATTATAATTTGTCCCTTTTTAGGCTGGAGGACAATCTCTCTTCCTCCACTAGTACCAATTTGACCACACTCTGAACCTCACTTAGCAAGGAGTTTACTAAGGAGTTATACTGACTTCTGTTTCCTGAAATTAACAGTGATTAGTTACACCAAGCAAGAGAAGATATAATGTCTTACTTTCACATTTGCAAAGAATACTATGGCTAACCCTCTTCCCTACTCACATGCCGACTGCGCCGGCTCTCCTGATGTCCTCAGCTCTTCACAAACGTGATGTCCGTACAGCTTGCTTAGCTTGTCCCATGAAGTCCATTTGGTTCCCAAAGCACAGTCCAGGTTTGTGTGTGTGTTTGTTTCTGAGCCCCTGAATTTGTATGTGAAGAATCACTGACTAACAGAGTTTTGCACAATCACTGTTCTCTCCCTCAATGAAGATGCCCAAGTACGAAGTGAGGCAGGTACCAGCTGCTCCACAATGGCCTTCAGCATTCCCAACTAGCTCTGCTGCCCGTCCTGGAGACCTGACTCGGCTGGGACACCTCCCTGAACTGATGAAGGCACTACTGGCAATGGTTACTAACAAGAAGGTGTTGAAATAGAACACCTAAAAATCGACGGCTGTAGAATTTTCTAAGTGTACCACAATTTGGCACGACAACCAGAATAACAAAACAATTCCAATTTGGAATTTCACTGGTGCAGTTGTATAAAATTCTGTTAGTCAGTCATGCTTCACAATGTCCTAAAACCCAGAAAATTCTGGAATTTATAGGTAATACTACTCATTCAATAATTTATGCTTTCAAGTGCCTATTATTGTTTTAACCAGAGCAAAGGTCAAGTTTTCTTCTTGTTACATTGAACTATTCCTAAGAATAATAATAATAATACAATATGAAAAAACCCCAGAATTGGAATACCCTGGATTTCTTAATGAACATGGCATTTCAAATCTGTAATTTCAAACATGAACCACAATGCCGTGTCTGCTGAAGGCTGCTGAGCCACAGCACAGACACACTAGGCAGCTCCCTGCCGGGTCGGAGCCTCACCCGAAGTCTAGCTACACACCAGGGAGCACAGCTCTACCTCATGCTGACACAGGTCAGCACACCAGAGCTAGGACGGACAGCTACAGGACCACAAGCACAGACCACGGCATTGGAGACCGTCTCTATGCAAGGAATTAAGGAAGCAAATATAATATCAAAATATCAAAAGTGCACAGGTTGATCGGATAAAAAAGGAGCATGTGTAATAAAGAGACCCCAGGGCAGGCGTTCACAGGCTCCTAGTGAGCCTGGCGGTGGCTGGTGGAAGCAGGTTCTTCGGCCAGAGGCCTTCCCAAGCAGCAGCTCGCAGCATTTTCAATAGTAAAGCTTTTTTTCCTCCCATTAAAAACTTGGGGAATGCTATTTTGAAAAGAATTACAGTGGCATATATTTTGAAAAGAATTACAGTGGCATATCCAAACATTTCTAAGTGGACTTTAGGCTGCCCTTCCTTCCTCTGCATGGGCCACAGGAGGGAAGGGGGAGGGGCTGCAGTGTGACGGGGCCGGGTGGCCACGTCCTCCCAGCAGCTACTCTACAGCTGAAAACAGGAGAAAACAAGACAGCATTAGAAATCAGTCACGTGCCACTTCCTGCTCACTTGACAGCTACAGCTCTTGTTCTGGGAGTGAGCGAGCACATTAGTTGGCAGAGAAGGCCTGCATGTGTGTTAGGGGATGGGGCTTCAAGTGCCCACAAAGCCCCAAACAGTGTAAGAGGAGCTGTGGTCTGGCCCCAAGAGAAAGAAAAGCAGAAGGTGGGTGGGCATGCAGGCAGCCATTCCCAGGATGGACATGCAAGGGACACATGTGGCCTGTTCTATCCACAGTCTATGACCATGTGGTGCCTAGAATCTGAACAGACTGGGACACCCCAGGCACCAGAGGAAAGAAAGAGAAAACTGTTTTTTTGAGAGACTACAGGGTCCCATAGTGGGTAGCAATTTCACCACACCAAGAAAGATGCCTTTCCACAGGGATAGCCAAGCAGCTGTCACGGGAGCTGGGAGTCTCAAGACTAGATGCCCCATAGGGACTGGGAGAGAAATACTGAGCAAAGTCCTGCTTTACAAGTCACTTAAGCAAAAACCTGATGCCACAGTGCTGCACTGACAGAGCATCTGAGAAAGGAGAGCCCTCGGTGGCCTTTCCTCCTTCTGTAGTATCCCCAAAGTGCACTGAGAACTGCACAACTCTTACCTGCTGGTGCTAAGTACAGCTCCAGGCCCATAAAAGGTGTCCCTAGCACACCAAGGGACTCTACTGCACTGTGCAGTGTGGTAGAGCACTAACAGTTCCAAAAGACTGCTTCCTTGGGTCTGACCGATTCTAGGAAAAGACTCAAGCACAAGAGAGGACCAGAGAACAGGCTCTGCACCAAGGACCAGGATCTGACCAGGCACTCGGAGCACTTTCTCATCAAAGAAGGAAACTGAGGACCCCAGGCACTCCCTGGGCTATGGTTATGTGTGCCTGAGGTGTGAGGGGCTCACTGCAGAATGCAGCCCACGCTCTGCCTGTCTGGGCTATGGTTGTGTCTGAGGTGTGGGGGCTCACTGCAGAACGCAGGCTCTCTGGGTCAATTCCCTCTGGGACTGGGGAAGTGCTCCATTTCTGTCCTGAATGTGGTTTGCAGTGAGATGCTGCACAGACTACAAGGAAACTCTTCATGAAACTACGCCAATCACAGAGAGCTAACCTAGGCTAGTCCTATGATGCAGGCTAGAGCCTCACAAAACTGCTTTCAAGTGCTGATATTAGACACATGCGAGGAACATGCAAGTTTTAACTCAGGTTCTGCCCCTGTGAGTGCCCAGGGAAGAACTCACCCTTGGGTTCGCCTAACAGTGCCTGGAGGCCCTGGAAAACACTTTCACCCCACTGTCTTCCACAGAGGTGTGCAGTTCCACCCCTACCTTTGATACCAGCATCCCAAAAGACAGCAACTGACATGGGATATCCTGGGGGGGGCTGTGGAGTGAAAAGCAGCACAAAGCTCAAAGTGTCCTGGTGACAGATGTACCCCAATGCTGCCACTTGCCTACAATGCCGCCCTCTGTGCGTTAGTCACGTTAAGACCGGCCTAGCATTGCTGTCCCACTGCTGCAGCTGGGTTAGTTGAGGTGAAGCAGACGTTAGCGGTGTGCGGCGCCCCACAGCCCTAGTCACAGTAAATGCTGTGCTTCTCGCTGCAGAACACCTGGTTGGCCAGCCCGGCGCCCTCCGCCCTCTCGCTGGCACAGGCGCAGGTGTGACTTACGCTCGGTGTGGCTGGCTTGGCCTTGGAGGCTGCTTTGTTGCGGCCCCTGCGGGTCTGCTCATGGTCCAGCTCCAGCAGCTCCAGCCGCTGGGTGAGCGCCAGCTTCTGCTGGATGGCCATGCGCAGCAGGGAGTTAAGAGTCTTCTTCTCATCCTCTGCGGCTGCCAGCTGCCGCTGCATCTCATCCAGCTGTGTGATGTATTCGTCACACCTGTGGAGACAAACCATAGCTGAGAGGCCAGACAAGGGAGAGCAGGCCCCGGGTACCCCAGTCCATGGCATCTCTCATGTGGAGACTGAATCACGCTTGTTCTGGTTCCTATTGCAAAGGCTCCTTTGGGAAAAGGCCTCGACCAGGACGAGAGGTAGCGCTCCAACAGAAAAGAAAGGTTACCTTCAATTCAGTGTTACTTCATTTGTTTCTTTGTGAGGAGAAAGGGCAAAAGGAGTGGAGTATGCTGCCTAGTTTCTGTTAACCTGACACAGACTATAGTCATTTGGGAAGAGGGAACCTCAATTGAGAAAATACCCCCACCAGATTGGCCTTTAGGTAAGCCAGTGTGACATTTTCTTCATTAGTGATGTGGGAAGGCCAGCTCACCATGGTGCCGTCCCTGGGTCCGAGGTGCTATAAGGAAGCAGGCTGAGCAAGTCATGAGAGCAAGCTGTAAGCAGCACTCCTTCACTGCCTCCCTAGGTTGATTAATTAGAAGCTATCACATAAAATAAAAACTCCCCAAGTTGTTTTGGGCCATGGTATTTTATTACAGCAATAGAAACCCTAAGGCATGGGGTGTTTGTTTGCCAGCTTGAAGTAGTTCTGATAAGCAAGGCTTGACTTGACGCTCACCCATTTGCCTTCCTTCCAGTAAGATCTCTCCCACTTTAAGAACAAAGAGGTGTCTCAGATACTGAGACATCACTAGCTCCCAGGATCTGGGTGTAAACTTAGAGAAGACTGAATTTGATCCTCCTGCACACCGTATCTGGTGGTCAGTAAGCCTGTGCTGAATGACAATCAGAGCCAGGGATGGACGGTGTGTGGTCACCTATGGTGACGCAGCAAGCCCACCCCATCGTGTGGAGGAAAAGAGCCTGGCCAAGGTTCCCTTGTGACACCAGCACACCTGTCTAGTTGGGGTCGGGTGGAAACTCAAGACCCTGGGCAGGTCAACTCTCTAGAGCTGGTGGTGCGCCCATGGACTCTAAGCACCACCCTTCTGCCTCCCGTGGTCCCCAGACCCAGTTGGCCTGAGAGCACCTCTCAGAGACTGCATACTGTCTTCCTCATAGGTGTGAAATCCTATGAGGAAAGTCAGGTCTTTAAATAGAACAAGCTTCAAAAGTTATGATTTGTATAAGATGTTGAGGAATTAAAAGAATTCTTTCCTAATCCCACTAAGGGGGTGGGGTGGGGGTGGGCTGCAGAGGGAAGAAGAGCTCCATGAGTTCTAGGCCAGCCTGATCTACATAGCAAGTTCTTGGGCTACATAGTGAGACCCTGTCTCAAAAAAAAAATTTTTTTTTTTCCTCTAAGATTCAGTAGGAAACTTCCAGAGAAATCCTGGACTCTTCTGCCTGTGCCCGCCCTGGCAGGACCTACCTACAGGGATGCTAAGAGACTGAGAGTAGCTGGGCTGGGCTGAGGGAACCGGGGTCCATGGCCCATCCTGTCTCAGCTTCTTCACACAGGAAACTGTCAGGTGTCCCTACTTCAGTGCTCAGCCTTGCCATCCCACTGTCATTCCAACCCTGAGCAGCAGGTGGCGCCACCTATCTTCGGAGGGTGATAGACAGGGGCCTTGTTTTCCACCCTTAAGACTGTTCTCTCCCAGCCTGGGAAACCTATAAACCCTTAAGAGGTCCCCAGGCCACACAAAGAACCCCATGGGAGAGGAAGGAACGCTGCACACCTCCCAGGCTGGAAGCTTCCTTGCCCCTTCCCTGATAGGAAAGCTGGAAATGGACAGCCAACTGCTGAGCAAAGTCCTGACAAAGTCCTGCTACGGGGAGAGGAATAACAAACTGGGCCTCATCTGTCACCACCGGACTAAAATTAGACCTTACAATTGTGTTCCCATCCCCAACACTCACTCCCTGAGCCCTTTGCTTCTAGGACGCCTATGCTCAAAGCATAATAAACTGAGCCTCCAGGTTCATTAACAGTAAAATTAAAATCACGCTTCTGGGGGCCACGGGAACAGGGGAATGGATGCACGCCTCTGCTGAGTGTCTGCCTAAGTGGCACCTGCCAGGCCCGCTCCACGTTTGGGCACCTGCTGACACAGAAGCCTGGCCTGTCGCCACCTGAGGGCCTGGTACTGCACAATCCTTCCTTCTCCTCACTTTCCCTAGTTACCAACTTGAGCCAGTCACGGTGGGCAGCCCCACACACATGCTGGGGCTGGGCTAGAGGCTACAGTTTCCAAACCTTGAGCTGTGTTGGGGTGTCTGACAGGACTACAACACAGTGTTGAACCAACAGGCCTGCAGGCCTCAGGGGAGAGGCTGCAGCAGATGGAGTGTCACCGTGGTGCAGGTACCTGGTGGCAAACATGGCGCGCAGGGAGGAGAAGGTGGCTGCGTCTTCCTTGAGGGCCTTGAGCTCGTTCCGTAGCTTCATCATGGTCTCGGTCACCATGGCCTTCTCATTTTCATACTTGCTCTTTAGGTTGGCGAGGGCCACCTCAGCCGTCTGGGGGAAAAAGAAGTATAAAGTGGGGTGGTAAAGGGTGTGAAGCTGCTCCAGGGAAGCCCTGGGTCCAAGGTGGTGCTGGTGACCATAGAAAACTCTCTGGAAAAAAATCTCTCATGCAGCTGTAGGGACAAAATGATAGCCAGGCTCCTGGGGGCCAGTCTGCCTCAGTGAGTGCCACCGTCAACCCTGATTAGCAGGGAAAGATGCTGTCCCATGGACCCTGCCCTGGAGAACCCACAGGGCACTTGGACCACTGCTCTGTTACCACGCCATAGAAACTGTAAGGTGGATGGAAGCAGCAGTTCCTACTGACTGAGGAGCTCTGGTTAAAGCTCCCTCTAATCCCCATATTCCACCCCTTGGCTGGAAGCCCTGAGGAAGGAGACAGCAGGAGACTAAAGCAACAAGGTGATAGCCCAGGCCTGGGCGCCCTCCGAGGGGGCTCTGGTGGCAGTGCCCCACACACCCCTCTCACCTGCTTGTTGGCTTTGAGCACAGTACGAAGTGTGGTGATCTGCTCCCGCTTGGTACTCAGCAGTGATTTCAGCTTGAGGATCTCCTCCATGAGTGCCTCCTTGTCCTTGTCCACAGCAGGACCCAGCTCCTGTGAGGCGATCCGCTGCCGGGACAGCTCGGTTGTACGGTCTACGGCCGCCTGCAGGTGCTTGATCTGGTCTCGGATGATGGCGATCAGGTTGTAGATGTTCATAGGTTCCCGGCGGGGGTCACTCAATGGTGACGGCAGTGAAGAGCTGGGTGAAGGGCTGTTGTCCCCAGTCCCACCATCTGCTCGGCCCACTTCTGTGGCCAAAAGCCCCTTGGGCAAAAGAACAGGTGAACGGCGTCCACGGCCCTCCGGGCTGGTGCGGCCGGCCTTGCCCTGGCCCTCACGGTAATAGTCCAGCATGACACGGTTGGGCGTCTCGTTGTTGCACATGCACACATGGTGGTAGAGATTGGCCAGCTCCTCGCTGAAAGTCACCAGCTCATCCTGAGCCACGTTCAGGCTGCCCTGGGTCTCACCAGCCACATCGCTCACCTTCTTCAGCTCCTTTTCCAGCTGGGCCAGCATCTCTCTATCCTGGTGGCTAGCCTTCTCCAGCAGAGACACCTTCTCAGTGAGTGCCTGGCCCTCAGCCTCATAGCGGCCCTTTTCTTCTGCATGCTGGGCTTCACGAGCTTCGTGTGTGCTGCGCAGTGCCTTGAGCTCCTCCCGGAGTTCGCCAGCCTCAGCCACAGCCACATGGTACTTGCAGGCCAGAATCTCAGGCCCGTTGATGTCCACCTCATAGTAGTCACCGTCCTCATGGCTATCACGGTCCTTCTCGTTATCCAGGGAAGTCTGTCGCTCCTTGCCAGCCTGCAGGCGCCGGAGGGCACTAAGGTTCTCTGTGAGACGACTCACCTTCTCATGTTGCTCAGAGAGGGTTCCCCGAGCCTGCTCCAGCTGCTTCTGTGTGTCCTGCAGTGTGGACAGCAGGCCTACCTTCTCCCGCTCCATCTGCAAAGGTAGATGTAGCAGGAAAATAGGTCAACAGGCTTAGAAGATGCCAGGATGGCCAGGCAACATCTCAGGCTAAGCCAAATGGGCCATGGGCTATGCAAATTCCCTCGTCATGCCACTAGTTGACAGCAGACTGGACAGAATTCACCACAAAGACCATGGCTATCACCAACAAGAGTGGTCATCCATAAAGTTCACTAAACATGTGCTGGAGGGGAGCTGGGCTTCAAATGTGGAACTCCGGGTCCAGGGCATGTTGGCAGGGTCCCTAAGTGTCCTAGCTCTCTGCCATTCTCCTTTCTCATGCTGTGGAGAATACTCCTTTATAGATCAACAGTAAACTTTCAGATAGGACAATGTATGGCCCTACTAAGACTCTAGCTGTGGTCTGTAGATAGGAGTTACATGAGGGACAAGTCACCTCATCCATGCATGATTTGGGTAGCAAAGGGAGCAACATGGGTACCAAGGTACTAAACCTTACACAATAATCAGGAACCTACTCCTCCGGGACACTACTCTTTACCAATAAGAATTTCATTTGTGGTATGAGGAATTTAAAGGCAGCCACACGTCACAAAAGCACTGCTTACACCAGGTATGCAGTCCTGCCAGCACCACAAAAGGCACGAGGAGAGAGAGGGATGGAGCTCGAGGCCCTACCCGCTCACCTGCACCAGCTGCTGCTTCAGCTTCTGGATCTCAGATATGTGGAGTTCACTGAGCAGGTCGGAAACGAGGCTAGGGGAGGGTGGAGCCAGGCCATCCTTCCTAGGTGTGGATGTCTTGTTGTCCAAGGATGATTTGACCAAGCCACTGTGCTCAAAGCCATTGACCAGGGCTTCAGCGTCGTTGTTGGGCTCTGCAGTGACAGTGTCATCGCTGAACTTGAGGCCGTCTAAGGAGACCTGCAGGTGGCTGGTATAGAAGGAGTCGTTGATGCTCATGTAGTGCGACAGCTCCTTGCGTAGGTTGTTCTTCTGCTCCCGCTCTGTCTTCAGCGTCTCCAGCGCCTCCTCCAACTGTCGTTCAGAGATCTCCTTGAGCCGGATGGCATCCTCTAGCTGGCTGTTGAGGTACTCTGTCTCCTCCTCTAGGCGCTTGATTTCATGCTTGAGGCCCTCAAATTCCACCTAGAGAAAAATGCAAATACCCCACGTCAAAGCAGTCTAGAGGCTCCACTCAGGTTGACAAATGAAGACAATGTCAGAACACCACCTCCCCCAAGCACAAAGAGCAAGGACACACAGAATGAAATGCTACTCCGCAGAGGACAGTAGCTGCAGCTAAGGCCACTTCCTACACAGAACAAGACGGGCGCTAAGGGGGGCCTCCAGAGCACTAGAAGCAACAGAAGCGTTCAGTCCCTCTGCCAGGACCATGGCCTGGAGTGTGTACATGGAACCTGCAATGCCACAGCTAGGACTCACCATGGAGGCTGCCACATTCCTATTATGTTTCTGAAAATGAGTACCAGTATGCACTGATTCTATAAAAGTACTCAGTTAACATTAACAGCTAGCCAAATCTCTCTTCATTAAGTGTGTGTCCATCTGCATGTGTGCATGACACATGTGTGCAGATGCCCACTTCACTGTATACAGGCGGAGGCTCTCCTTCCACTTTACATATATGAGTTCTGGGAACTGAGCTCAGGTCACAAGGCTTGCACTGTAGATGCCTCTACCCACTGAGCTGCTTCACCAGACATAACCAGATATTTTAAGGTACATAAAATATATTCTTTGCTGTGTGCTATGACCACTTATATTTGACTTATATTTCAAACAAATAAACTGGACTTGCCCTCCAGACTGAATGCTTCAGCACCGAGCCCTCAGATGCAGGCTTGGAGAGCTGGAAGTGGAGCGTGTCTTGTTAATGTGACACGATTTAGGAGTGGACAAACAGAGTAAATGCAAGCTGATGCTTAATGCGAGGCGCAGGGTTTGTGGGCATATATAAAAACATTTTACTGTAACAGGAAAGAAGGAATGCACGAATCTCTCTGGGCTTGGGGTAGGAAAAAAAACCTGGTACAGTATTATAAGTGTGCACACTTTCCAATGCCCCAAATGGGGGTGAGGAATCTCAAATGGGGAATGACTCCACTCAGGGCAGGGTCTCCTTGAGGTTCAGTTTTTCTTCTCCTCAGGGCACTGTGGGTAGAAGTACCAATCAATGTCCAATGGCACTTCATGCTTGTGAGCTACAAGCTGGAGATCTGAGCCCTGTTCCTGTGGTTATCCAGCACCAGAGTCCATCCCTTGACTACTGTGCAAACACAAAACCTTCTACACCGACACACGGGCTTCCTCACGTGGGATAAATGCTGGGTCCCTGACGGTGAGGCCTCCACGGTAAGATGATCCGTGTTCGAGGCCTCTAACAAAAGCAAGGACAGCATCCATGGCATTTGGGGGTAAAGGCTAGAATTTCCTGAGAAAAAAAGAAGTTCCCTGCTGCCTATAGATCTTAGGGCGTCTCTGAACACGGAGCACATGTTCATGTGCTGTGTGGTTCTTAGCCTTACCCATCCAGGAGCACTCCCTACTCTGCCACAGGCAGAAGGTACACCCTCCATCCCTACAACAGGCAAGTCACAGCAGTATTTCAGGCTTCACAGTCAGTTCTGGGGGTTTTGGTACAGCTGGTTCATCTATCTGAGTTTCCCCATACCTTGGTGATGTAGAACACTGTCCTCCAGGCATGGCATGGCCCTTGCTGTCTCGAAATCAGAGCAGCCATGATTACCCAGCTCGGAGACCCTCACAAGACCAGGCTATACACACGCTCTCATAGAAGGAAGGGGAAAGTGCATTAGACCCTCACCCAAGAGTCCAGCCACTCCCTCCCTTCTGTACCCCTAATCCTGCCTGAGCTGTCTCAGGGGAGTATGCTATGCTACAGCTCTGCTAGAGAGACAGGAGACAGAAGGCTAAATGAAGACAGGGCTCCATCTAGCAACTGTTAGAGGGCATCACTCATGCCAAGATGGAAGTATTTTGGAATCACCCATGCCCTGTAACCTCCCACCCATGCCCCTGTGACCTC